CAATTCATCAGAACTGATGGCAAGATCCTGACACAACTTTCAATTTTCTCTTCAACTCAGATGGAGTCGACTGGTAGCCTTTCCACATTCTATCATTTTCGGCGATCGACGATATCAAGCACAGAGATAATAAGAGACTTCTTCATATCGAGTTTCCGATAAAACTACTGCAGGCTAGGCGTGCCTTCACTGCTGAAGGGACGGGTATGCAGAGCATGACTGAGATCGAAGATTCTAGTTTATAGTCGTATATCCAGAGGCATGAGAATGAACAATCTAACACAATCACATAAAGCCTAACGTCAGCTGGTGACCAGCCACTCATTTGTTTTTGTAGTTGCGTGACAAGTTGGAGAGTTGCTTTCATTCGTCACAGACTTTTGTTGATAACTTTCCGTAGAATATTTCTCTGTTTCTGTAACAAGCTAAAGAGTAGCGTTAAAACTTATTTCATTATAATAGAATAAATATAGTCTACTTGTTTTTTGTGTTTTTTTCCTTTTAGTAATCAACTACACACCATTAAAATGTAAAGGATTGAGTTGGGCAAGTTATAGTTCTGAAAAAAAGACCCTTTTGTTGAGGCGTAAAAGAAAGCAAATTATTCTTGTATGTTTAAAATATAGTATAAACTATATTGCTAAAATTTTAAATACGTATCATGCCGGGCTCAATACTTTTGTTAATTTAAGAATTTTCGCACAAAGTTACACAAGGAGCTGTCCGTGCAATTCATTCTCATCCGCTTGCCGATAAAGCAGAAGTTCAGAACCGGTTCCTAAGTGCCATCTCGACATAGGATTTTTTTCTTACCTATCTGCGCATAGTCGTTCTTAGTTTTCAACTGATAGACTAGAAGAAGGCATCTAGTCAACAGCAACACCATCCATTCTGCCAGTTATTAGACTACTGTTGTTGCCCGGCATGGCCAGGTGGTTAAGGCACTCGACTCGCAATCTGAGGGTCGCGGGTTCGAATCCCTCTAACACCAAACATGCTCGCCCTTTCAGCCGTGGGTGCGTTATAATGTTACGGTCAATCCCACTATTCGTTAGTAAAAGAGTAGCCCAAGAGTTGGTGGTGGGTGGTGATGACTAGCTGCCTTCCCTCTAGTCTTACACTGCTAAATTAGGGACGGCTAGCGCAGATGGCCCTCGTGTAGCGTTGCGCGAAATTAAAAAAACAAACAAACTACTGTTGTCTGATCGAATAGTGACATTTGACCGTCACTCTTATAACGCGCCTAACGCCCCAAATTGCAGAACGCGTTTCTACAGTAACTGGTCTCGAACCAGAAATTCTCAGGTTCACAGTCCTGGCACTCTAATCACAGGCCACATTCGGTTCCTCTCAGTTAAGAGCTTATGTTTCCTACTAAGGTGTTTATTGTATATTCCAAGCAATGTTTGCCGTTAATGTTTCTAGCAATGTGATACCACTGACTGCGATATTAATACTACAAACTATGACAATTGATGAACATTGCACCATCAACAGTCTCCACAACTTTGAATTTCCACATGATTTTACTCGCATTAAGAAAATAATTTATGCATATGAAAACTGTTAAACAGAATGAATTGTTAGAATATTGTTCTTTCTCGTTATGGGATGGATTGTTTTTGTCACCAATGAAAGTTATTCATAAAGAAATTAACTCTTTCCCTGTCATGGCCCATCATATACGTCCAGCTCTTAGGCATTGCCAAAAATACACATTATAAAACGTTAGCTTTAACACCTGTGAATTATAAAATTTGAACTACTATGAAGAAAGGGCATTTCTTTACAAACTTCCCAAAATTTACCAGATGAGTAATGAAATACTAAAACATGTGTCATTTTGTTTTTTTATTGTGTATTTGAAAATAAACCTGACACTAGAAGAGATGTTTATCTGTAAATCTGGCAGTGAAAGAGTTAAAATAAATTACTTTCTCTGCTCAGCAAAGTTTTCAGAGACTTGTTGTTGTTTTTTTAGTTGATAAAGGATTCTACGTAGTACAGTAGAATCTCTAGGGATAACAAAAAACTTCAGTTCAGCACCATGTTTTCCTTATACAAATGATCTTCTGTTTTCAAGTATAAAAATAGAAAACGTAGTAGGTGTTTACAACACTTTGAAGATTTTACTTTAGCCTGATTAATTTGTTTTATATATTTATGAATCATATACATGAATCTTATCGGTAGAATTTACAACTTTAGAACATTTTGTCGCTTGTTGTTTCTCATACAACTTAGTGTATGCTGCGCTTTAACGTTAGTTGAACAATTGCCAGCATTTTTATTTTCTCCCTTAGCTTTAAGTATATTATACTTACATGAGACTTCTACGTAAACAACTCGGATCTGGTAAAAGTTCCAGTCATAATTTAAATCTAAAAATGTTATTTTGAAATAGTGCTGACAATGTAAGGCAGTTGTTACAATAAACAACAGTATATGACTAAAAATAATTCGTTTGTACTAGACAGATAAAACTCACAGCGCATTCTAGGCTTCAACGTACGTATACCAGTTAATTGGTAATAAGAATTGGGAGATGTTGTTGAACTGAATAGGATGAGCGTTTCTGAGAACTCCAGTAGAAGAGTGCTTGGACGACACTTAAATGCCTCTACTTCACTGATTATAAACACACTATACATAATTAGACACTATTACGGTCACTTACGTCATAAAGTACCCAGAACATACTGGTTACAACAGTGATATTATTAACATAGCATTTTCCGAAACGGTGTTAGCAAATATTACACATTAAGTAGCTGAAGTCTGAAAGAAAGTAACACTTAAAAAACGAAATTGCCTAAAATTACTATCTGTTTTGTTTTTTTTTACATGTTTTTAACTACAAGAGATCGACTGAACTTCGCACTTGGCATGATATACAAATACAAGCATTAAAAATGTACATTAACAGTATTTAGATTAGACAACTACAAACAAAGTTTATGTCACTCATATCAGGTATTCAGCATATCGAGCATTAAAATATTTAATACGTGGATTAATATTAAGATAAATAAGTAAAGCAGAGAACACACATGCACAAAGACACATATATATACACATAACTAATGTACTAAAGCACATAGACATATAGTTTTACACATCAGGTGTAAATAACAAACCCAACCTTGTACTAGGGACAAATGAAATCTATTAAGTTAAAGCAAATTACGTTAAACCATTTTAATATTTGTATTTTGATACTACTGAAGAAAGAAAACCGACGCCTTCTTTTCTTTATCTGTATTCATACAGCTTCACAAATTACCATAGAAGCATACTTTTCTAGAGCTATCTTCTATGAAGCTAGGTTGTCTACTGTTACTCATTGTCTAGTTTCTGTATCCGTGTTACAACCAACTGAAACAATGGATATAATAACTGTTTTCTTTGCAATATCTATATTTTCTGCAGCTAAAAAAAAAAACAAAAACAAGTATTAAGACTTTCTTTACTTTATACTCTCTAGAGAAGGAAGACCATATAGTGATGCCCTTTTTTATTTTATTTATATTTATAAGACTGGACAATTCCAGGAGGTTTTTAAAATACGAAGACCAGTCCATTTTCTACTGCATCCGAATCAACGAATGCCATTGCTTTGTTTCTTTTATTGATACTTCTTAGAGCTGAAAAAGTAGCAAACCTTAGTGCTTCACTTACTTTTTCTATACTGCATCATAGATGAAACTACGAATAACAGTGTTGTTGTTGTTGTTTTCTACTTTTTCTGTATTCTCTGCAGCTGAATCAATGAATATCGTTGTTTTTATTGCATGTGTATATATTGTAGAAATTAAACTGAAGCAACAAATAACAGTATTGTTTTGTGTTTTCTTTGTCTGTATCCCTTGAAGCTGGAATCAGTGATGTAAGTTTGCGGGGGGCGAGCCAAAAGAGGCCTGAAAGACCGAGAAAGGAAGGGACAAACAATTTAATTTATTTGAACTAAAAGGCGGCTGCATTATTCTGTTAAGTTAATGATATCAATCAGCCAGAATCGTAACTACAATTATAGGGAAATAAATGTAGGGGGCCCAATTATTTTTTATGCTGGGGGACATCGTCTGTAGTTACACCACTGGCTAAAAAAAAACGATTATCAGTGTTACTTTGTTTTTACTTTGTCTGTGTCTTATGCAACTGAAATAATATTTACCGGTGTTGTTTTGTTTTTAACTTTACCTATGCAACTGAAACAAGAAACTTCAATGTTGTTATTTTCCTTTTGCTATATTCCATGAAATAACAAATACCAATGTTGTTGATGTATTTAATTTACCTGTATTCTACGCAGTTAAAATAGCAAATACCAGTGTTGTTATTGTGTTTTTTTTTACTTTACATATGGCCAGTTCAGGTGAAAATACGAATATCAGTGTTTTATCAACCTTTATACTTTTCGTTTGTGATGTAAAATAAAACCAATCTCTTCTTTAGATTACCAGTATCTTATTTAGATGAGTTATTGCTTATCTGTACATTATTTACTTTATTTATAACGTCAACCAAGTGTTTTGTTTTATATCATTATTAGAATATATGTTTGTTACAATGTTGCTATACTTAATTCATCATAATGTATGTTTATAAGTAGTACTTTTACCCTATTTCTAATCAGTTTAAATAAACGAAAAACTTTATTTTCACTTCAAAGTAATTTTACAAAACCACAATATTTCTTAAAATAAGTCTTACATCGCTTACTTACTATGTATAAGCATATGATGAAAATAAATAAAATTCTAACCGTTAAGTAAGCTATTAAACGTGTTTCATTTTACTAGTGATTGTTTTTCCTATTATTTTCAAAACCGCGCACTTTGTTGAACACCACTATTCTAGAATATATGAACATTAGATGAATAATTTATCTCACTGTAAAACGGAAACCTCAGTTAATGGCGTTCATAAAAAGTTTTCAAATAAATAAATAGATATAATGGGCATTATATTTCATTCAAAATATAATGAACGTGTAGTTACGATAATAAAATCATTATTTTAATACCCAATGCACTGCTATCTAAATATTTTATTGTAACCCTTAATGTACTCTACAGCCACTCAGTCATGATCTTCTACGATAATGAAGATGTTTCCTTCCACAATTTGCACAATTTCAGCTTTCTATTTGCTATCAGTGGCTGAAAATAATATGGATATGTTATAAGTTTCAATTACAAGGCGATAGATAATATGTAACACGATAACTAGCGCTACAGCTGGATTCAGATGACTTCTCTGTCATACCATGTTCAGTTTATTACATATTTACATAATCGTTTCAAACAACAATACAGAAGAAGGGTGAATACAAAAAGGGGAGACTGAGATTAAAAACTGTTTGATCCCAGCACACTTCCAACACGGGTTTTCCTCCCTAGTTTGGTTTGTCTAAACTCATTTTATTTATTTACCCAGTACAGCTTTTTTATCCTTCTTACTTTCGTAAATAGAAAACCTGACATACATACACTCTAAAAGTAACTTCCAAAAAGTGTTTTAATTCTGTAATCATAAGCCTTTTTCATTTTGTTTTTCTATGCTTGAATTTTGATTTCTTTGTAAGATTTTCTGTGAGACGTTCTTTATGATTTGGGAGCAGTTCGATAATCAAACAGTAAAGGGTAAAGTTGAATTAAATGCAATGACACAATAATATACTGGTTTAATACATCAAATATTTCGAGTGAAACTAACAGTTAAAACCCATAGTTTCCTCCCTGTTCCTTAAAATTCTCAAAGAATTGCGTTACTCTTAGAATGCGGAAAGCGTTACAATAATACTCACTTTAGAGCATACGCTTATAACTAAACTTGGATTTACCTTGACCTTTAGTTGTTATATATCAAACAATAGGTTCTAGTCACCTAATATACTTGTACATGTCACACATATTTTCATATTCCTTCTTAATTTACATTTTCAAAGCATTTAACTCCTTTGAAGAAGTTTAAGTTATACACAATTTCAAAATACAATTGTAATGAAATTAGGAATCCTTAACCATACTTAAGTTGTTTATTTGCTATTTCTGTTAACATATAATGACTATGAAATATATTTGACTAAGCGTTTTTTTACAGAAGTAAGTTTCAAAGCGTTAAAATAGGTGATTATACAAGTGTATAATTGGCACGTTAGGAGGTTGTAACCAGTGACTTGAAGTTGTACAGTACTTTTCTGTTCTCACGAGAAATATCTTCAGCGAAACTGTTATGTTCATCTTTTGAGAATACGGTCTGATGCTGAAAGTATGTTATTGTCAGTCTCATGATGGCCTAAGCCGCATTTAGTGTCAGGTCCAGCATATTCCTGCTGGTAACATCTAGAAATAAAGATTTCAGCAGCAAAGTTGTACCAGGACTGTATTCACGATGAAACACAGCCACTGTACAGTAGAGCCTGGTAGGTGAAATCGCGTAGCACCTAAAATAAAATACATTACACAAGTTTATACAACAGTTTTAAAGTCCTAAGATACAAGTGTTATAATACAAACCTACAAAAACATCAGTAGTTAGCGTGTATGATCCAATACGTTTATTTATCAATTCTGGAATGGAATTTTATAATCTTAAATATATTGTTTTTACATTTAGCCACTTGAACTTACTTATATAGGTGAATTTTCAACTGCAAATCTTGTGATCAACTGCACAGTAGGAAAAACCCCTGGACAGAAGTATAAAATAAAACCGACTAAGATCCTTACTGTTCACTAAAACATTATTTAAAACGTACCACATAGAACTTAGCATTATTGAGAGCTTACTGCCAAAAGTTGCACTTGGAACTTCATAAAACACCCCAATGTTACTATATCTTGAATATAAGATATAGTATTGAATACACAACAACGTTAATATGGTCTAGAAATGTAGTAACAATCAGAAGATTACGAAGAGAAGAGACATGTAAGCAAGGCTGTACAGTATCTATTTATGTTTGCGTAAGGTTATTATTAGAAATCTTTAATGTATTGAGGTTGCATGTTTTATAAGTACCTAAATAAATTACGGCTTGCCATGATAAATATCTAGTTAAGACATTTTTTCCTTGTAAAGAACATCATTCTCAGGGTTTTCGTGTTGTTATCACTCTCGAAAAGTTTACTTCTCGCTTGAGTTTCCCTTATGGAAGCAAAGTATGTCTATATAGATCAAATATATAGTAGTGGTTCACCCGTTAAGGTTTTCTTCTGATGACAACAAATTCTTCAAATCAAATAATTTGTTATTCTCCTACTGAAGCTTCCTTATGGCGAAAACAATCACTCCAAATTAGATAATATGGGGTTCTCCTATTAAGGTTTCCTTATGGAGACAAAAATCTCTCCAGATCACATACTTTGAGGCTCTCCTACTGATATTTCCTTATAGTAACAACAATTTCTCCAGTTCACATTATTTGTGGTTCTGCTACTGAGGTTTCCTTATGGTGACACCACTCTCTCAAGATCCCATAATCTGTGGTTATCCTACTAACTCTTCTTTATGGCGATGACAATCTTTTAAGGTAAAATAATATGTTATTCTTCTACTCAGGTTCTCTATGATGATAATAATTTCTTCAGATCACATAATTTGTGGTTCTCCTACTGAGATATCTGAGAAAGTTTATTTGGTTGAGGCTTTCCTACTAATAACACAATATAGTATTCGCAGTCATTTCATATAGTTTGAACACAAACGTGAGATGATGACGTCTGTGGACATGTTTTTCGGGGCTGAAACTTTTATAAATTGACGAATATATAACACATATAAAATTTTACATAATGTAAATAACGCAAATATTTTCACTGTAGAGGTACAAAAAAGTGATTGATACTTAATTCACTAAATATAAAAGATGTTTTCCCTGACTATATTCCTAAAAATGTTCAACATGCTGTAACATGTGAAGCGGTAGAATATATTTTAAATATTATATGTATTAGGATTGTCTTGAGGGGTAATAACCGTACTGTTAAAAACAACTGTCAAACATCTCTACAACTGAGCCTCTAAATGGTTTAAGCATTTTGAGGAAGACATCAAGTGTAAAAGAAAAATAAGAGTTTTTACGTACAAGAAGTATTATTCGAATTAGATCTATGTAGAGATCTTTCCTCCGTTCGGCCATCTTGATTCTTCTGAGCATCCTCAAGTCGAGTGTGTTCTATAATGAATAAGAAAAAATATATACATGTGTGTCATAACATATCGCTACCTGATTAATTTGACATAAATGTTTATAAATAATATTCACTTTATCTCAGTACAATTTCTGTTTTTTGAAAAAAAAAATCATCTAATTATGAAAAGCATCGTGGACATTTATAGATATCTGTATGAAATTGTTACTCTTACCTTTTCCACTGATATTGAAATTTAAATTCGAGTGCACCCTACAGAGTAGCCTATATTTGCTTTCTTTTTTTATCTTATCAATATAGAACTATCCGATAGAAGATTGCGAAAACAGATGAAACTAGAAAACTCTCAACAATAAACATTTACCAAAACATGTTTTTCTCTTTCTTCTTCCTAATACCATACAAGAGTACGGTACAAAGTTAATGTTTGGAAAATATATATCTTTTAACTATTCCGTTCTAATCAAAATAATGCTTCTCGGGATGACCTTCAGGAGACTTATTAACAAATAAATGAGATTTTTAAATCTAAATCCACTAACAAAATATTCCGAATAATACAATAAACATTCTCAAGAATTAGTTTTAGTCGATTATAGTTACAGTTTATGATATATTGACAAATCATGTTTTTTTTCTGTATCATGAACTTATTTGAAGTTTATATAATAGTGTGTTTTTGATATACAAAAGTATATATGGAATACAATCTCCTGGAAAGATTAAGACTTACTTTTATAGTTTTAGAGGCATACAGTTACTTATAATGTACAAACAAAAATGTTAATAGTAGATAAATAATATAATCTATAATGAACTTTAGATCCACTCTTACGTAACAATACCGAACTTATATTGAATACAAGTTTCGAAAACATCCATATAAATTCGATGTTGTTTAGTGATAATGGACTTAAACTTTATTTTTGAAAAACATGTTAATCTTTTTCTGTCCTTACTCTGGTAATATGCTAACATGAATAAGCTGTAAAATGCCTAAAGAGCAAATATTTTAAAGGCTACATTGTAATAACATCAAAAATTGTTAAATATAGTTGACTTTCATTTTACAGTCACTGTTTTATTTAAATTCGAATACAAATACGAAACATAATATTTTTTCTTATTATTTTACAACAGTTTAACTCATAAGGCTAAACAAAGTTGTTTTATACTGGAATCTGCGACGCAGAACAACTGTTTCTTAGTGTTACCGATTTTTTAAGGTATAAATAGACGACAAATAGAACTGAAGTTCAAATAATAATATTACACAAAGCAACAAGCAGCTTTTGATAGAATATTATTATAATTCGTTAATTTTCAAATAATGAAAGCTACTTCACTACGATACTATTATTATTTCAAGAAATATACAACATAACGTTACTTCAAATTAAACTTAACTTTGTTAAATCAAATGATAATTGATAATATCAACTCTATACATTATCCCACCATGGCTTCATACTAGATAATAGCAACCTTATACTTTATTCCATCAGGTTAAGCCATACCTCCCACAGGTTTGATATTCTATAGAGCGGTAAGCCAATAGCAAACTAATAGTGAAACATCTGTTTGATTATGGATAAATTGTTTAAAAAACTAAATTAGTTATATATGCACATTAATGCAATGATTATAGATAAATTATTCAAAAACAAAATTAGTTATATATGCACACTAATGCAATAACTGTATTTACCTGCCCGAAGGTCTTTGTAATCATCCATTAAAGAGTTACTGGTTGGATGTCCATAGTGTAATCTTGGGCTAAGTGTACTGTCGTTATCATCGTTGTGGAGTTCTGATTTCAAGCAAAGAAGAAAAAACAAAATGGTAGCGAAGCTTCGCCTATTGGCATAGTGCTTTATTTATTCTGCAGCTATTTGCGGCAGCTGTAATCGTTTAATACATCTACTTATGACACATCACAAAGTACGAAGATGTGGTTAAATTGCATCATTTATACCTGCGACCCGCTTTCTTATTTTATCTATATTATTTTATTAACCCTAAAATTAGGCTACTTAAACATATTTTCTAAATTGTTTATGCACTAAATGAAATAAACATAAACAAAATAATTAAAGAAATACATCATCCATATTCCAATTAGTTTGACTAACCACTGCTGGAAGTCTCCTATGTATTTGACAATGAGTGATTCCGTTCATTATCTTCTTGGTCAGCTTTTTTTTTACAGTAAACATTGTAATAAGAAAAACATAAAATTACTCATTATGATGCAATGCATGAACCTCACCGGTATTAAACGTTTTAAAAACAAGTCGGTAATTTAAATATTAATATATTCTTATCCAACACACTGTTTTTGTTTGTTTTGGTAAATTCCTTGAATCATCACCATATTAAGTCATTTTGTGGATTTATAAATCCAGTTGTTTACATGTTTAAACTACTGCGAAGTAAGAAACATCTTTTTAATTATTTTTCCACAATTAATCAGTTGATTGTAATGCGTTTCGTTTCATAACATCAATATGAGAAACAATCGTGATGTTTCCACTAATCTTCTCAGAGAAGATATCCGTGAGATACACTGAAATCTTAAATCTTGGTATATAAAATACATACATACATTTTTCTTAACAAAATAATGGGCTCAAACGAACATATTTGCGATTTTTCAACAAAGAAATTTCTCAGGAATAAGATATGATTGATTTAATAGAGATATGGGCATTATATTTAAGTTTTAGATGCTTACTCGTTTAAACATTAATTTTTCTAACATATGTATATAGTTGGTTGACGTGCTCTAATCTCTATAACTTAAAAATACTCATCAGAGAGCTATAATGTTTATTAGATGTACTAATAAAACGATGAAGAATCGGTAATTTGAATGAATACGATAACTATCACCAGGGAGCGTTGATCTTGAATTGTACCTAGCCAATATGCTAACGATGTTCAACGTGATCACTATTTATGTTCACTACAGCTGGATTTCGTGAGAATACATTATAGACGACTGAACAGTACTACCCGATTTCCAACAGCTATACTTAGTATCCTATAGTACCTTTCACGCCTGTCAAGGTAACTGGCGCGTTACAGTGATATGACGTAGCTCCCGAACCAAAAAATCAGCAGTCCATGCAATGTGGGTAGGAGTACTCCTCTTTTTTGAAGTGTAAAAATGACATCTTTGATTCTATTTTTATATCATCCCTAGTATGAAAATTCTACGTTCAATACTCTCTCTCTGGTGAAAATTATTTTGACACAGGAATCACCTTTCCCGTCGTCTCATTATTTTGTCTATTAAATATTATAACTCATTCTTTATAATAACTTTGTACTTTACTCTTATAGGCATACATCACATATTAATTATTAAAGACATAATCTATCTAAATATGTTAATTACTCAACTTTATCTAGTAAATTGTTGAAACTTCTCATCCAATTTTCAGTATAGCTAAAAATATTCATCCTTAAAAAGCATCTCGCTAGCGGAAAACATAAGCTTATGATAACAATAGAAACTCAGAAATGTTAAATGTTAAAATTCAAAATGAAGGGGGATTGTAAAAATCAGTAAGTGAAATTGGATATAATACAATTCCACACCAAATGAATTAGTAAAACTATCTGTATATCTGGTGTGAAAAATTTAGTTAGAATAGGTTTAACTCAGCAGAAAGGAGTTAGTATTCCAGTCAGGGAGATTCTGTTTAATAAGTAAACTCTATTTAATAAAACGGTCCAACTATATGCGGCCAGTAGCTAAAACTTTAAAGCTAGTTGAGGATATTTTGGGTCTAGTATGGAAACGGATCATAAAACATAACCAGTTTTATAGGAAATTCCCATGAGTTCATGGAGATGTACAGTTAAATGGCGTGTGGTTTTGACAATGTAGATAGCTTTGTACCTACCACACGTATATCTGTAAATGATCCATGAGAGAAGTTGGATCGGTATGTAGTATGTTTTATCTGATATGGTGATTTAAAGGCAATTCCCAGTTGGATTTGTGTAGACTAGTTATGTAACAGGGTAGTATGCTGATTTTTAAGAATTAAACTCTGTTTACCTAAGTAAGGAAGCCATATGTCTTGATGAAATTTAGTTGAATAGACGACAACTGCCTGTTGTAGAAACACAAGAATAGAGGGCGACGTTTCGAAAGTCTTCCGCTTTTCGTCTTCAAGTCAGGGTATCTATGGGGTTGTCGGTCTTTATGGTATTCTGGAGAATTGTGGATGGTGTGTTATGATTGGTGAAGAGACTTGATGTAGAGTCAACCAATGATAGCCACTGGTTGTTTTGGAAGTTACTAACGATAATTTGCCTACAATCAACTTTATCCTAATACAACGAGGAATTCTACGAACAAAAACAGACGGTCTAGCCATGGAATCACCACTATCTCCAATCTTAGCAGACATTTTCGTCATCTGCAGGTTGTCAGGGAAAAATATATGGCAAGTAATGCTTGGAGACGCTTGAGTGGGTAATGAAGAAAAACTTTTATATAAGTTTTTCTTCATTACCCATTGAAACCGTCTCCAAGCATTATTAGTCTCAAAATGGGTTCCTCGTCATCGAATATGGCAAGTAGCGTTATGGTAGAGCGATTAGGTGGGTGTAGTTGGCATAACATGTGTTCGTTGTCACAAAGGGTGGAATGTTGTGGGAATATTATTTCTATGACTTTTTAAAGAATGCCATATGTCTTTACAAGAAGGCAATGGTTTTCTGTAGTACTTACGAAACAGTTTAGTACATTTATTGCCGTTTTGACCCAATAAATGTTTTGCTATGGGATCACCTCAGCCTGACTTTAGTTAACGCCATTCTTTGATAATATAAGCAATCATGGTTTCCCATTTACTGGACAGTAGGTAAATACAGTTTCTCTCCCTCTAACTACAAACGTAACCTGATCACTTGTTTACTTACTATAGCTTAACGTTTGTTCCTTTTATCTCTCTTTACACAATCAACTAAAATGTTTACAAATTTCTTTTCAGAAAAATGGGTATCACAAGTCTATTCTTGAAACCATCATTTCTGACTTTTTCAATGGAAAACTTAATCCCCTTAGCCATATTAAAATGATAACTGTACCTAAACTGTCTTTAAATCAACGTATCAAATAAATCATTTTTCCATATAAAAGACTGCATTCCAGTCCCACTTCACCCATAGATCATTTACCCATATACATGTGGTATTTACAAAGCTACTACCTACATTGGGAAAACCAAATGCCATTGAACTATACCAATCTATTCACACATGGGAATTTCGTATAAAACGGTCACCCTTTATCCCCACACACACTCTCAAACTATTGGACAAAAATCTCCTCAACTGACTTTAAAGTTGTAGCTACCGGCCTCAAAGACTTAGAACTTTTCATTAAAGAAAGTCTACTCATTAAACAACTTTTGTTTTAAGTTTGTTTTAATTCTGTAGAGATACTTTTACTAATTCATTTAATGTGACATCAAAGTTCACTCATTATCTTTTACAATCCCACCATTTTCAGTTTTAACATTGCTTATCGCAGTAGATAAGCTTTTATTTAACATTCAGATGATTATTTGTAATTATAGTATTGTGTTTAGTGTAGGGATTAGTTGGAGATGAAATATATATGTTTCATAACGTTCAATAAATATGTTGTTAGCTGTCACTTCTGAGGTTGTATTGTTAATCACTAAAAGCATTTCTGATTACAGATTAATTGATCAATATGCACCACAATACAATCCAAACTTTCTATAAATACATGCCTTAGAAAGTGCCTGTGGTATATATATGTATGGTATTTAAACAGCATAGATCAAAGCATCACAGCACTAAGTAAAGCTAAAATTGGTTTGAATTATATAAATAATACCAGACAGAAAAAAATGTTGTCCTAAAAATATGAAAAACAAATGTATTCCCTAAATAAAACTTCCAGAATAAGATTATAAAACTTTATATTACAAGTAGTCTGTAGAATAACAGCGCTCGTAATACTCACCTTTTGGGAACGGGATGGGCGCCATGAATGTAGATCTTAGCATGTATGGTTTTGGCGTCGATAAAATTTCCTCTGAAAAATTTCCATTACAGATATTTCGACAAACAATATAAGATCCAAAATATCATTTCCATCAATGTTCGCTAACTGTATACTGACAAATTACTGAGTAATATATGCAGACAAGTTCAGACAAGTTTCACTAAAATACATCTCTGAGGTTTTTATACATCTGCACACTTTGATTGTTAAACACTTCATTCACCTTTAAAGATAATGCGATCTTTGTTTTGTTTTATGTAGGGTGCATTTTAAGATGTACTGCGTATCAACAAAGGACGCATATAAGTTACAATTTAAAAACATATCTTATGTAATGCGTTTTTCTGCCTGTACGTTAAAGCTGGAAATTACACAGTTTTACGATTACTCGCAAGTTACGATGTCATAAATCATTTTTTACGGATTCATAACTAATAACTATATGTTTGTTTCAAATTTTAATACTGTTCTTTACATGATATCCACAGGCAAAAAACGTGTACTTTACTGAAAACGGAAAAATGCATAGAAATCTGATCATAAGCGATTTGCCAAAAAGACATAAACAACCCAGTCAGTGCACGTTAGTAATCGTCAAGCTATAAAAAATAAATATATTTTTCGCACTTCAGAGAAAACGTTGAATACTTTATGTATACCATTATTTTATGTGTAAAATCAGTTTAACGGTAGAATTTTAGTTAAAACCTTTTTATTAACAAATGTCATGTATAATCTTTTGATCATATTTTAATACATTCGTTCTCCTCGAATGTTATAATCCATTACCGCATCACCTGTTATCCAGTAATGATGTTACAGCATGGTTTCAAGTATAGTTTAAAGGAACAAATTTTTCGATGACCAATAAATTAACTGAAGTAAATGAATAATTATGAGCCCAATAGCCTGGCTAAGTGATATAGAAATTATGTTTGGGATTTTACTTTACTTTTTAAAAACAGCATTGTGTTAAACAAACAACTAGTGTTTATGTGTTCCGTAAATAAAGTACACTCTATGTTATCTTTAATGTCAGTTTAATTAACAGTTTTGGTTAGAATTTTTAATATAGCTATTTTTATTACTGTTAATTTATTATTATCATGTTTTGTTATAGAAATTATTTTGCATTGTTATTTTAGTGTATTTAGTACTAATTAGTGTATTTAGAATTTAGTACTAATCTAAATATCTTAAGCTAGCGAACGTCTAAAGTTGTTAATGAGATTACGGCTGTACATATTGCAAACATCGAGGGTATCCAATTGAAGAAACAATGCATAGTAATCTTTATATACAAGATATTTTAAATAATATATTTAGTTAGCTATGCTAATCACGAAGAAGATGGATTAATGTGAACTTACCATAAAGTCGAATAAACCCTTCTTTCTCACCAAAACTATTTCTAGCAACACATTTGTACGACCCAAAATCGGCTTCTGACACGTGTTTTATTTTTAAACTCATGTAAGTGTTATAAGAATCGTTTTCCTCGATTAAATGGTACATGTTGCTGTTAATAATGATAACTCCCTTATGTCTAACCCAGGACGTCAGAGGACGTGGCCACGCCTGCACATTGCACTTTAAAATCACCTGGCTGCCAACAGTTGCTCCTACTAGCTGATTTGGAACCCGTATCTTAGGACGAACTATCATAAGAAAACAAACACGACGATAAAGTTATATAATACAAAACGCATATTATATTAGTAAATTATTTCACCTACCTGAAGTTGTTAAATACTTTTCACTGTTCATTTTTTGAAAGAAAACATATTGAAAGAGTAAGAAACAAATTTGCACGCTCAGTGAAGAAGAAAGAAAGGTTATATCTGAAATATATTTCCATGAGTATCCGCTTAAGAACTTTATTTTGTTAGACTGCGATTGCATTCAGTCACATAAGCAAAATACTATTAATATTTTGCCATGAGTTTCCAAGAAATAGCAATAACATGTACTGGTAATTAGTCTCAGTTGTTGTTTTTAAGATTCCTAGCTTGCGGTAGTTTGTTATTTACAAAACTACTGTATATGAACCTCATCATTTTAAGTTGTTCATCACCACAAGTATTTATTAATCTAAAGAATTGCCTCATACAGAAGAATGGGATTAAACAAGTTTAAAGTAACTTATTCTACAATACTTTCTTAAACTTCCTTATCATCAAGAGTGAACGGAGTAAATACCTATTATATATATAATCCACACCCAAAACTTCTAAATTAATCCAAGCACAAAATGGCATATACTTATTTTTGCCATGAAATGGCAGATTTAACAAAGAAAGCATCAAACAAATAACAAGCATAAAAAATAACAGAATAGAGCAAGGTAATGTTTTTTGACAACTTATATTCTAATGTACATATAAGCCGTTATTGTCAAACCTATATTCAAAATGAACTCTGTAACTTCTACTTACAGTTCACTTCGAGCATGATCCTCTTGCTTACAGAAGGCGGAATACCGTTCGTGGCTATACACAAATAAGCACCCATCTCTTCCCGTGTAATCTGACTGATGTTAAGGTATTCGCCTTCTACCTTGGAAACTAGAATTACCAGTAAATACCATAAATACGTACTACTTATTTTTTGATCAAATGAAATGTGGTTAACTTACATTATCCCATATATATATATGCACATACACCTCTATCTCTCTCTCTCTATATATATATTAGTTGGTTGAGTTCTATCACAAAGTGTTTCTCAAGTGACTTTACAAGATATTTAATCTGCCTCTCGAATATTCTAACATATAACTAAAGTATTATAAACTATTAAAATAAAGTAAAATGCTATAAATTTCTATATTCATCATTAAAACTATTGTATATAAAGTATTATGTCTCAATAATGGGCAGTTTAACATGAAAAAGAGGTGTTATAAGCTTAACTGTTTTTAGAAAAAACGTTATATATATTTAAACTTATCAACATTTGCAGCTTCGGTAAAATATAGACTGACTTCCAAACTATTGGAAAAAAATAACAGTTTTTCGAAAACATACAGCACGATGTCCTCGAAAATATCCTCTAATTAGGTGAATTCTTCATCTTTCCTTGTATAAAAACTGAATTTGTAATTTAATATCTGTGTAATATTTCTCAACTGTTTATTTATTCTCGCTTTTCAATAGAAATACAATGGATCCGTTCTACATGTTTGTTTGTTTGTTTTGAATTTCGCGCAAAGCTACACGAGGGCTATCTGCGCTAGCCGTCCCTAATTTAGCAGCGTAAGACTAGAGGGAAGGCAGCTAGTCATCACCACCCACCGCCAACTATTGGGCTACTCTTTTACTAACGAATAGTGGGACTGACCGTCACATTATAACGCCCCCACGGCTGAAAGGGCGAGCATGTTTGGTGGGATGGGGATGCGAACCCGCGACCCGCAGATTGCGAGTCGAGCGTCCTAACCCCTTGGCCATGCCGGGCCGTTCTACATGTGGCTTATAAACTGTTGCTATATTGTTGCACGCCCATTTCAATTATAAGACAAACATTCAAAACAAGGACAAATGTACAGACGTTTTCTTTTAATGTGTGGTACACGAACGATGAACTGTTAGTAATAATCTTGAACATATTTTATGTAAAAAAAGATATCTCAATGTACTCAATCTTGATGCAAAACATGTGTCATATACTGAATTATAATCAAAGTCTGCTGGATTACCATTGAAGTGCCTATATCTTTAAATATATTAATAATTTTCACCATTTTGCTTTGCTGGTTCAATAGATAGGCAGGCTTAGACAGTTTACATTACTAGAAACACGCCTTAAATCGGATTGATTAATTTAGCCGTAGTTTTGAAGGTAAAAACTATAATAATATGCCGTTTAGGAATTTTGTTTCGGTGGTTGTATGTGTTACTATGTTGTTAGAGGAAGTCAGGTTGTTGTATGTTGTTATACACAAAGCTACACCATGTGCTACACCTACCACGAGTAGCGAAAGCAGGTTTTTGTTTAGCGTTATAAACAGCGCAAGTGAGGAGAGAAAAAACAACAAAGTTTACTTAAATGATAACAGAATATTTCATTAACGGAATCATCGACGCTGGAACAATTTCTGTAATGGGAGAGGAGGGGAGGGGCTGAAAACAAAACCGAAATCTCTGTATAAGATATGAACCACGTCAAACCAAAAGGTGCTTCTGTACCCTTTAGTATCCCTACTTCCGCGTCCTTTAGCGGAATGATAAGCAATCAAATTATGAGACGCGAGGTAGGAAACTGGAGAAATAAACACTAAAATAAATTAAAACCACACTTTATTTGTAGCTCAAGTCATACATCACTTACAATTACAAAACAAAGAAGCCAAGCGCGGTTACTGATTTGAGGGTTTGAGCCTCAACCCTCTTAGATCTTTCACTATCCTGACCTCAAAGCTGGCACCAACCTAGATAAGCAAATAACTTCTACCAGATAAGTCGGCCATGATCAGACGACCCTGGGTAGCGACATTGCTACCTAACCTCGTGTCTGTTGGGTAAGAAACCTCTCAAAGCCCAACTAACCAATGAAGGGATAAAAATGACCTAATCTGCTAACCACTAAGATGGGCAAGTTTAAAGTGGACAGTAATGAACGTTACGAACTAAACTAAAACCAAAGAAAAAAAAAACACTGATTTTGTAATAGAGTTTAAAATAAACATAGGTTGGTATATAGTTCATTTGTAAAAATAAAACTGTTTAATTAACGTGAAAGAATAAAATGATTGACTACATTTTTCCCAAAGAGTATATATATCTTTTCATATATATGCATATACATTACAGTTTTACTTTATGAAGCCTTGTACAGAATATGAAATACATATATACGTAAGCTTTGTGTAAAAATACTAAATACCCAGATATTTTAACTGCTGTTTCTCTTAAGTAACGCATTTTTAGAAATAATTTTTACCTTAATTTCAATATTAATACTGATGGAAACATGTTTACTGTAAAAAGAAACATTCACATACACATTAAAGTGTTATTCTCCCGTTTCATCCATATTTTTTTCTTTTTTCAGTGAAACAAGCCCACATCTTAAGTCTTACCTGAGAACCTGCGGCCTGTGTATGACACTACACTGATGTCTTTCTGGTCCTCCCGCCTCCAGAATATTTTGGGCGTTGGATAACCAGTTGCTTGGCAACGAAGACTTACTTTAGACATCTCGTCCGCAATAGTATCTGAACTCGTCCCGTCTTCGATAATAGTAGGCGGTACTATAGAATATCAACACGCTCTTTCTTATTTCCACATGCTCTTTGTTGAACATGACTAACAAACGATACATCATAGCCACATGACTTGCGGAATAAATTCAAAACTAGTATTAACTTGCCACACTTATTAAAATTAAGCAGTTTTGTGATGTCGAGCAAACTTTTTATAATTACACGTAAGCAATATAAAACACAGCGTTAATCTGTTTTACTCAATAAAATCGCCAATGTACTAAAATTAATAATTAGATTCATTTGAAACAATAATAATAAAAGTTGTATCATATAGTTGTTCAATGTATAATTGCGTTTGTCAATCTTACTATAGTTTTTCTTAGTGTCTCTTAAAGTGTGTGTATGGTTACCATCTTCATTTAGCTACAGAAAGCTAGATGTTATTGGGTAATTTATTTTAAAATGTTGTAAACAATATATATGTGTATAAATATACTCAAACTAACCGCGAACAGTTTCATAATATTAATTTCTCAAAGACAAACATTATGTTTCAGTCAGTATTCGAAAATATAATATTATTCATAATTATTAGAACACCTGTGATCGTTCTCAGGATTTTTTAATTATTATATATATATATACAAATTAAAGTTCGCTGTTTCATAAATTAAAACTCAGAGTAAAAATGTAATCGATTCTAAATTAAAAGCTGAAAGATAATTTCAGAATATACCTTGGAATGCTAGTGTTATAACGACGTAACGCAAAGACTAAAAGTTTTTGAGATTTGGTGATATAACGTGTCCATATGGAATAAACTATCAATAATATTTAGTCTATCTTCTAAAATAAGATAACCTTCTGAAATTTTTTACGTCCCATGCATGCCGAATCAACTGTTCCTGTAAACTTTTACAGAGAGAGCTGCTCAAACTAAACTCAGTTTTAAAATTTAACTACTTCCCGAACAACTTTATAGCTTCTGCCATAAATGAAACTGCTTACCAACTACATTTATCCGGGTAATATCTCTGCTATATATAGGCTCACACTCACAAACGTTGAAGAAGAAAATAAACGCCATAATCAACCGAATCTATCCACAAGTTCCCTTTAATGTGTGTTTAGACCTTTACTAAGAACACGGAATTTTTTGAAGTATAAAAATCGAATCCAATTTTCTCTATAGTCACTTGTCATTTATAAATTTTGCTGCCTAGTGTATGGGGGCGCTTACATCGGATAGACTGTCAGAAGACTAGGAGATCATTTAAAAGAGAACTCTAATCTTCAAAGGAAGCCGAAATTAAACAATGGACTTTTACTCGCAATTTAGGTAACTTAAGTTAATAACATAGTCACCGACGACTTGATTTCGAAGAACTGAAAAGAAAATTCAGCAAAGGAGATATTCTATGTGGAACTATGATTTGTTCCTTGTATGCTAATAATGATAAAACAAAAACCAATAGATTATAGAGTTACAGGTAGAAAGAAACTAACCCATGACGTCTAGATACCCAGTGATGCTAATCATTGGTTCAGTGTTAATTTGACACATGTAGTAGCCTCGATCCTCTTCCTTGACTTTCTTGATGTGTAGAAACCACTGCCGGATATTGTTGTTACTGACTTTTATCCTAGGATCCCGTGTAATAACATTCATATCTATCGTCAACAGAGTCTGGGTGTTCATCTTTATCCAGGCCACCTGGTGAGTTGAAACAGAATAATGTTTCTATGATTCGTGTTGAAATATTTTTTCCACTTTGTAATATGCTGGACGAAACCTTAAATCTTACAATATCCTATAATAATAAATAAAATACATGTACTATACTATTGGAAATATCTTAAAATGGTTACATATGTAAACTTTTCCCCACGATTTAGGTGACACACAAATGTTAACAAATGTCTTGATTATTTCTTTAGAATTTTCTCACAAAGTTATACAAATGATCTCTGTGCATAACTATACTTAATTTGAAACTGAGAGAAGGAAGCTATATAACAGCATACACCATCAACTTCTGGTCTGACCGAAATGTGGAATTTCACCGTCATTCTTATAGCGTACCCACAGTCTCAAACGTGGAGTTTAGTTTTGCGACAACGGGACACGAACCGTGAATCCGCAAATTTCCAGTCACCAAGTACGCTGACCACTAGGCCACATTCAACAGATATGCGTTTGACACATGACAGTAACTACGTTATATTTTATCGAAGGAAACTTTTAGTAAGTTATGATATATAGGAAAGTTTATATCTCTGTTTTGTGAGGTAATTCAATTAAGTAAAATAAATAAGATCATTTATATGTTAGCGAATTATAAGATCACCGAAAATAAGAAATGCCAATGTTTTAAAATAAATCTCTGCAAACTCAAAATTTGTTAACCACTTATTAAACAACGAAATTAAATATAAACCAGTATTGTGTTTAGAGAAGATAAGCACAAAGTGATATGTCCTGGAAATGTGCATTTTATGTTCAAACATATAACAAAATTTAATTTTTTTGTATTTTATAAACATCCGACTTAGCAATAAGACCGCATGTAAAGTACGGCAGCAACAATAACTGTAAGACTGGCTAGAATAACAAAACTCGTTGATCTTTCTTCGAAATTGTATATTTTTTTTAAATTAAAAAGAGTAGTTTATATTACAATTAAGACGCTCTTACTGAACTTTATTATTGAAAAGCTCGATTAACCAGCAACATAAGTGGCGTGCTTACTAATATTGTCTGAAGTACGTCATAATTTTTCTTAACGTGAAACTTTGGAAAGCTGCACGAGACAGAAATCCTGCCATAAAAGCATTGAAAGATGGGCTTCTTATGAACTTGTAATCCTGGATAAAATTATGAATCAACCACTAACATAGTGAAGTTACATTCTAAAGAGAAGCGCCTTTCAGTTTTTGTACACTTATTCTAAGCTGTGATCCCTGTTAAAAAAAATAAAACCACACATCAAAGTGTCTGCCTTATATGGTTCGTTCGTTTAGTAGACACGAGAAAGAGTGTTATATCATATATATTTTGTACACGGTATGATATTTTCTTTTCGTTATATAATTAGCATTTTTACTCACGTAATGTTCTGCAGCTTCTGAAAACACCTAAATCTATTTAAGACTTAAGCATTTCGCCACTATCGATGTTTGTATCTCCATATTTCTTAAATTGTATAGTTTTTCATTTACATTTAAATGTGTATTTTCCCCACCAGCTTCTCAGTCTATATTATCCAATGTTTTGTTTAGTAAATCATTTAAAAGTTAAATCGTTTGGCTTATGATGCGCCGAGGATTAAGCAACAAAGATAAAATACGTAAAGATAGCAATTTTCATCAGTCCAAATACATTACACGAAACAAAACAAGAATTTAAACTACGGTAACTCTTTCGAGTCCGAATGAAAGTTTCTGATTTTCTTAATTTAAAAACAAAAAATTAAGGTTAATATACTCAAATATCGTAAAACTTTAGCGTATAAACTTTTATTTAAATAATTTTAGCACCATCTTTGACTTATAGTAAGAGTATTTTTGAAATGTAGAAACTTGCCTGGGTCCTTGTTATTCATTGTCGTAGCTTGTTCCCCTTTTGCTCCTTTGAATTCTCCCATAGAAGGCGTCTCTATCCAATTATGTGATTTTGTATCTAGTAGTTTTTCCAGCAAGATGAACAGTGTAAATGTTTAGTGATAATATTTGAAGGTTATGTTCTCCCTGTTTTTACTGAAGGGCCATATTCGCCATCTCAATCCAGCCACAAGCTCAGAAAGAGAAATTTCAGGCTTTGACTTCTATAACTACCAATTAGCTTATACCTCTGAGTTTACATTAACAATACTCTATGCCCCTTCCACTGAAGATATAATGATACCACCGCAAAATGTGTCAGTTAGGCAAAGCATATTTCTTCTACAGTGTTCAAGGGTAAAACCAAGGAATGTCTGGACCTCTTCCTTAGATATTTGAATCAGGCTATTAGTAAGGCTAAGTGTACGCTAGCCCCCCCCCCAGTAGCACAGCGGTATGTCTGCAGACTTGCAACGCTAGAAATCGGGTTTCGATACCCGTGGTGGGCAGAGCACAGATAGCCCATTTGTAGCTTTGTGCATAACTACAAACAATCAAACAAAAAGATGTACGCTAATGGTGTATGAATGTAAACACTGAACAATAAAGCAAAGTTATTTGTAGTTAATATTTGTTAAACATAACTTACATTACTTGCACGGCAAAATGTTCAACATTTGGGTAGATAATAAAGTACATGACAGTTCCAATAATGGAAGAACATTACGAATAATTCTTCAAGACCTCTCGAAAGAGCAACTGAAAGAAATGGATCTAGTATATGTGTTACTGGCTGAGAAGCAAAGATAAAATTGATAATCACAGGAATGCAACATAGAAATATGTGCCACTTGTACAAGCAGTTGTAAATGAAAGAGATTTGCAGTACCATTGTTGTAAATCCTCATGACATGATTCTCAACCTGTGATGCAGTTCATGGCTCCTAGAGCTCTCAGGCTGGAGATACTTCAGAATTTGCAAATGCATGGATTTGGGGTCACCAGGGTGTTACTTAGACATGCTAACATGCACGAGTGGTTTTCCTGGCCACATCCATGTTAAGACGTTGAGCGATGATGCAAGCCTTGAAATGTGTCTGTTGTCAAAAACAAGGTAAATTTCAGTAGAAAGTTGTTGGTTCCATTAAAGAGACTCACCCTGGATATAGCTGGTCCTCTCATGGATACTGAGAAGATAATTTATATTTGTTGGATGTTCTTGATTACTTCACCAAATGAGCCAGCGCTTATCCATTGATTGATACATTAGCACAGCGTGTCAGTAATGTGTTGGACAATGGGTAGCATTATTTAGAGCACCTTGAGAAATCCACACAGGTCAAGAAACTAGCTTCAACAAAAAGTTACTTGCTAAGTTGTGTCCACTGTTAGTTACGGTGAAGATGCTTATTTTGCACCCCAGTCTTATGTTTTGGCAGAATGGGTAATCAGGTTATTTCAGCAGATACTTGCAAGGTTTTTATTTCCAAAAGAACTGACTGTACATCGTGATGACATAGAATGCAACGAAGCAAACGTTCACTAATTGTTGACTAAACATGCTAATGTTTGGTTGAGAAACAAAGCTACTTATGGACATGATATATGGTCTTCTCATAATGCCTATATGTCACAGGGACTGAGAGAATATGTCAACAAGTTACGGTCTACACCAGTTAATGCAATGAATTTGTGAATCAGAGACTAGGAAAGAGCGCCATATTCAAGAAGAAATGTTATGATAAAATAGATGTTGGACGAAACGTTCAGCATGGACACTGAGTGTGGATTAACTTGTCTTTATTGTGTTAAAAAACTCAGTCCATCACATTATTTGCAGCAGTAGCTATGTGGTGTGCATAAGTACAATGAAGACACTGACAAACTAAAGCTGTATATCTCTGATCAACCTCATGTGTTAAGTCAGAAATCAAAGGATATTACTGGTTTTTATTATTTTGACTCAGCAGATGAAACGAAAGATGCTGGAAGAAGCAAGCATTAGTGGGGAGGCAATGATCAACCAAAATTATGAAAATGACCTCCTGTTCAATATGCTGGGATTAACTGCTAGGTCAGAAGATAGAATGCTTACTTTTTGAAAACTTGATGACTGAAACGAATTGATGCTCTATTTCATCTGAGTTATCAAACTGTGCATCACAATGGGATGTATGTACTGCATCATGTGATAACTACTTGATTATTATACAGTTAGTATGACTGGTTCATTGTAAGATTAGTGGAACCTAAAACGCATTCAAACCATTAGTTTCTAAGCTACTGAGCAGTTTCACTGTTAGACATGTTTAGATGAGATTTTGTGATAGCTACTCGATAATGATATTGCTAGGATAGCGGATGTCAATATATGTAATACTCAGAATATGAAAAGTTGTCATAAATGATTGCAAAAGTTTCCTATACATATATATTATGGACGGACTTTGAGATCCTTGCTTTCCAAACACTCGGGTGAAATTTTATAATGAGCAGTTGCAGTATGGTTATATGGAAAGCCACCTGACATATAATGTGTACATGAAAGTGCAGAACTTATAAAGCGTCTACACAAACATGTGAAATAGTTACATACCTTCCACGTGTACAGTGAAGAAAATATGCTCATCATTAGCACAGAATATCATACGGGTTAGGAAAGTTCTTATTGGGAAAGCCCTTGTTCCACTAGCTTGTGTCTGTTTTAAATGTTTCTGTAGTATCGAGTGAGCAAAGATGGCAGTACAATATCATGATAATTTGGCTACTGATGATTTTGGCCAACTAAGACAGTAGACGTATGCTGTTGAACGACGTATTTAGCCTCTGTCACTTTCACTGTATATTGATTTATCTTGTATTATATACCATGGATATTATTCCTGGTTGAATTAATTTTAGCAAAAAGTCTCAGTTCAGCTGAATTCTGCTTGCAATTATTTTTTTGTGTGATATGGAAAGAGAAAGAATCGAGTCTATTGACTCAAATATGGTATTGCGGTATTGGGTATCATAGTTACCAAGACATTATGGTGGGAACAGGCATTTAGTTGACATGAGTCATCCAGTGGCATTATATACATATATAAGGGTAAATGAGTTTGATTTATATAT